CCTCAGTCCGAGTCCGTCGTGTCGAGTGAGTGAGTGTGTGTGTGTGCTCTCACTCTCCCCCTCTCTCTCCTCTCCCTCGGCTCACCCTCAGCCTCACGCTCGTAACAATTAGGTAGAGGGAGTCCAGGCGTATTTCCGCCTAAAGAAAGATGGGAAAGTGGAGAAGGTCCTCCACTCCCTGACTCTCCTCGTAGAAGACAACCTCCCATTTGATATTGTCCTGGGGATGGATTGGGGAGAGGCTGCCGGGGCCACGCTCCATTTGAAGGAGCACGAGTGTAGGCTCCCTAGTTCTTCAGGCGAGGCCAAGACTGCTTGCCTGTTCCATGTGTCAGGAGTAGAGAACCCCTTGGCACATTGCTGCCTTAGTGGCCCTGCGTTCGCCAGATTAGTGAAGAAGGAGAAATTGGAGGAACAGGTTTTTGTTGCCTATGTTTGGCCAGCAACTGAGCCTTCGGAAGAAAAGTCGATGGACCCTGCGATCGCCAAGCTGCTGGAAGAGTTTGAGGATTTAACTGAGCCGTCGACAGGCACGGTGCCGCGGCCCATCCAGCACCGTATCGAGATAGAGCCTGGCAGTAGAACTCCTAAGGGTGCTGTGTATAGGATGTCCCCACGGGAGTTAGAGGAGCTTCGCAAGCAATTAGACGAGCTCGTCGAGAAGGGTTGGATAAGGCCCAGTTCGTCTCCTTTTGGAGCGCCTGTTCTCTTTGTTCCTAAGAAAGAGAAAGAGCTAAGAATGTGTATAGACTATAGGGGTCTGAATGCTATTACAGTGAGGAATGCTGAGCCACTGCCTAGGATAGATGATCTCATAGATCGAGTGCAGGGGGCGAAGTATTTCTCCAAGATAGATTTGAAGTCCGTATATCATCAGATAGAAGTGCATCCTAATGATCAGTATAAGACCGCCTTTCGAACTAGATATGGGCACTATGAGTTCATAGTGATGCCCTTTGGACTAACCAATGCGCCAGCTACGTTCCAGCGTTGTATGAACGATTTGTTTAGGCATTGGTTAGACAGATTCATCGTAGTTTACTTAGACGACATCCTAGTGTTTAGCAAGACCCTCGAGGAGCACCAGGGTCATCTTAGGCAGGTCTTGGAGAAGCTGAGGGAAGCCAACTTCAAGATCAATGCAAAGAAGTGCGATTGGGCAGAGACCCAAGTTTTATACCTAGGCCACGTCTTAGACGGAGACGGCGTCAAACCAGAGGATTGTAAGACCACAGCCATTAGAGATTGGCCCATGCCACGTACGCTGACGGAGTTGCGCTCGGTCCTGGGCTTAGCTAACTACTACAGGAAGTTCGTGAGGAACTTCTCCACCATCGCTGCGCCCCTTCGTAGATTGTTGAGGAAAGAGACCATCTGGAAGTGGGACAAGGACTGCACGTCTGCCATGAAGAAATTAAAGCAGGCGTTGATAGAGCACCTGGTCCTTAAGGTAGCCGACCCGTCCTTGCCCTTTGTCGTCACTACGGATGCTAGCCAGTACGGCATAGGCGCGGTGTTGCAGCAAGACGATGGCAACGGTTATAGACCCGTAGAGTTCATGTCCGCCAGGATGCCTTCAGAAAAGGTCGCGACATCTACCTATGAGAGGGAACTCTACGCTCTCAGGCAAGCCTTAGAACATTGGAAGCACTACTTGCTTGGGAGGCACTTCAAAGTCTATTCCGATCATGAGACGTTGAGATGGTTAAAGACGCAGGCCAAGATGACACCTAAGCTTACTAGGTGGGCCGCAGAGATAGATCAGTATGACTTTGAGCTCAARCCAGYCAAGGGAAAGTATAACGTAGTTGCGGATGCTCTGAGTAGGAGAGCTGATTACTTTGGGGCAATAGTGCATTACCTAGACATAGGGAAGGACCTGCAGCAGAAGATTAGAGAAGCCTATGCGCAGGACCCTATCTATAGTGACCTCCTCAAGAGGGTCAAGGAGGCCCGAGAGACTGAGCCAAACTACCGCACTACGGAATGGTTGCTTTTTTAGAAGACTAATGTATTTGACCGCCTGTGCATTCCCAGTAGTGAAGAGATCCGTAGTCTGATTTTGGGAGAATGCCACGACACGGAGGGTCATTTTGGTTAGCCAATCTCATGCGCGCGTATGCCTGGCCCGGAATGAAGAATGAGTGCGTAGAGTATGTTCGCAGTTGTAAAGTCTGCCAGCGTAACAAAACTTCTACGCGTGCCCCGCTAGGTCTTCTCAGACCCTTGTCCATTCCGGATCAGCCGGGAGACTCAGTGTCCATAGACTTCATGGACACTCAAGTCAAGAGCAGGCATGGCAAGAGCCAAGTCATGGTCATAGTTGACCGTTTTAGTAAGTACGCAGTTTTTGTTCCTTTGCCTTCAGAGGCACGTACTGATTTAGTCATACAGAGATTTTTTGACTGTTGGGTGAGTGAGAATGGGATCCCACTGTCAATAGTTAGCGATAGAGATAGTCGCTTTACTAGCCAGAACGGTCAAGAACTCATGGGAGTATATGGATCTAAGTTGTTGATGTCGTCCGGCCGTCATCCAGAGACTAACGGTTAGACAGAGCAAATGAACAAGATCCTACAGCAAGTTCTGGGCATGTAAATTAGGCCAGATCAGATTAACTGGGACGAGATGTTGCCTAAAGTAGCTAGTGCGTATAATAATAGCGTGCATTTATCCACCTGCCGCACTCCCAACGAACTGCACAAGTCCTTTAGACCGCGCAGACTGTTTGAGGGACTCAACCGGGATCAGGTTCACAGATTACCGCTCGGGACTAGGGAGTTTGCTGTACAGCACGAGAAAGAACTAGCTACTGTTGTAGAGAACCTCAGGAAGGCCCAGCATAGGATGATAGATAGAGCAAGCGAACAAACATCGTTGCCCTTCACAGTGTCAAGTAGGCGACTTAGTCTGGGTCAGTTCTAAGGAGTTTGCACCTGAGGAGAACATCTCGCAGAAGTTACTGCCCACATATACAGGACTGTGGCCCGTTCTAGAAGTCAAGGGCGGCGAAGATGGACCGACCTATACCATAGAACTCCCAGCACACCTCCACACTTACCCAGTTTTCCATGCATCGAAGTTGTTACCTTGTCAAACAAGTGATCAATTTCCATCCCGTAGATCGATGATCCCACCGGATATGGATGTAAGATATGACATCGATGGTATAGTGGCTGAAGATGTCTTCAGAACTGGAGGTAGGGGTCGTCCGCAGAAAGAGTACAAGGTTCATTTTAGTTATCAAGAACCGGAAGACGACCGCTGGTTTACGAGATCTGAACTTCTAGAGACAGCTCCTGATATAGTCCGGGCCTACGAGAGACAACAGAGAGGTAAAGGTCTTGCCTTGGATTGAAATTTTCTCGGACGACCTCGAATTTAGGCCGGCGGGAGTGAAACGGTATTCACCAGCTCGCAGTAGCTGATGCAGATCCCAGGGCTCGATCCCTAGTTCCCCATCTTACCTGTGTACAATACCGGTGTCAACCCATAGATTTGAACCTGCTACCTGTAGGACCGCCAGTGGTAGGTAGATTTTCGTAGGTCACAGGGTAGAAGGGATTCGAACTGTAGACCTGTAGGGTAGGAGTCTAGACAGCTCAGAGGTCGTAGCTGTAGACTGCCTGAAGGGTCAAGGTCGTAGCTGCTACAGTATCGAAAGGCCAAGTTAGAGGTTTCTAGAAGTGGCCTTTCAGAGTGAGCCTGCGTTCAACAAGGGCAAGTGGTCAAGTGGTGGTAGTCCACCTAGTACAGTCAGCAGGCCCAGTCCACCCAGTCCGGTCTAGTCCAGCAAGTACCATCTGGGACTGTGTGCACGATGGGCCAGGGGTACAAGGCAGACCAACGCAGCACAAAAGTATAAATCAAGAGGCTGCGCCTGTTACGGACTCCGCTAGGGCTCGATCCCTGGTCTATCTTTTGCTGTTTCAGCTGCATCCCGTTTTCGGCCTGGCACCCTTTTTCCAAACCCCTCCTTTGGTACCGTAGGATTTTGGACAACTGGCGCCATGCTGCAATTCGGGCGCCACTTTCA